GCAGATTAATTGATAGTGAAATAATGAGAGCTTTTAACCACTCTGCCTCACTAGAGGACTCTTTCTCTCTCATATGCTTCTATTAGCTTCAGGATGTCTCTTTCTCTCTACCCTGCTCCTCCAATGATCTTTTTTCTTTATTCGTCTTGGTTTCTCTCTCTACCCTTTGCCTAATTCATGCACTTTGTGACTGTGAGTGCTCTGCAATTACCATTGGAGTAAATCTACTTTAGGATAGACATTCGAGTATTTGTGCACAGGGAAGATGAAATACTTAATCTGAGATGATACAACTTGAGGGTGTCTTACAGCAGGAATTGAAGCAAAGACAAAAATGTAAAAAAGAAAATGGTGAAAACTGTGGGGATAATGTGTTGTATATTCTAACTATCAATGCTTTCTGTTATTCTGGAGTAACCTGTTGTACCACTCCTTGTGGATAATTAGAGTTAAATATAACATGGGTCTTTTTTTGTAGTTTTAGACTTGTCCTGCGCTATAATTTGTCCTTGCTAATAAGTTTTCCTTGCTCTGCCAGACTCTCAGACATTGTTGCGATGTCACCAAGTTCCCAGTAGGCCTGCATTATATGAAGAAAATCGATGTGCGATAACACTGTTTAATTTTGCAACGATGATATGAATGAATATGAAATAAACAAATATTGAAGCGTACTTTGGTGATACAATTCATATGTCAGCTTAGTTGTCTTAAATTCAGAACTAGATTAGAATTGAATACTTTAAATATAACAATGTGGTTTCTAGATGTTTACAACAGCAAATTCACTATATAAACAGAATAATATCTTACTGGAAACAAATCTAAAATGTCAATAAAATAAATCATATTCCTGACATCACAACACTGAGTGAAGTTTATAAAGAATGAAGAACACAGTCAGTCAGTATCAGTCATTCATCCTGTTCTGTGTCCTCCTCTGATGTGATTCACCGCCTGCATGTAACGCTTGGGAGAGAGGAGGGGCTGGTTTGTCTCAGCCAGCAGCTACATTTAAAACAAGAATTTGCCAGATTTAAAGGTAGATGGCAAACTACACTAAACAGACTACATAGAGACAGCTCCATTTTAGCTTCTTTAGCAATTTGGTATTAGCAGAGTTAGCACACTGTGCTTGTGTTATTTAATAGCGGAGGTGGATGAGAGAATGTGGACAGACCAGATATCGCTTCTTTGCATGGTTACACTTGTTGAACAGGTGTATTGATAAAGCGTTGCATTTATTTTGCATGTACTTCCAATATACGTAATAAACGTAATTTTCGCCAACTCAAGTAATTTTCAAGTTTACTTTGTTCACTCCACTCTCCACTGCAGACTCTCTAATCTGGTCTGTCCACTGACTTATCTGTGTGTGTGTGTGTGTGTGTGTGTGTGTGTGTGTGTGGGCGAGTTGCAGCCCCAACATTGAGCAGATAATAAATACTATGGTCTTAAGCAGTGGGGCCTGTTTAATGCTGGGTTTTTCAGGTATTTAGTTGTAAACGAAAATATTGGCCAAACTAAAATGACCTCATGATAACGCTAGATTAAAAGTCAGAGGAGCGCCAAAGGTACGACGATTAAGCTTGAGGAGGACATGGATGTGTGTGCCAAATTTTATGGCAATCCTTCAACAAGTTGCTGAGACATTTCACTTAAAAAAGCCCAAATGTCAGCCTCATGGTAGCACCACAGGCAAAGCCCGGGGCATTACCAAAGAACAAAAATGTCTGCACAAAATTTCACAGAAATCTATTTAATACTGGTAGAGATATTCCAGTCCGAACCAAAGTGGTCGCTTGGCCTAGAGCTATGCCCCACGCATGGCTAAAAAATGTAACTCCTATTCTCCTGGTAAAAATAAATGCACAACAACATGAAATGCCCCACATTTACTCACACATATGACAGACCATATGGTCACATTAGTCACTAGAAACTTCACTTCCCACACATATCTTGCCAAAAGACTAATTCACTTATATCCTCAATGACTTGCCAAGGTAACACCCATGGACTGGCTAACCAAATAAACGATGGTGAGAAGCACAAACAAATGAGAGCCACATCATGCCGAAAGGAATGGAGACATTCATTAAGCTAAGGGCTGGAGGAATTGTAGCAGCAGGGCTCCGAGCACTGCAGCAGGAAGACAGATGATCTCTGAGAAAATGAAGGGAACACCAACTGTACCTGCAGTCCCTGGAAACTTTTCCTAATCAACTTAGTGTATTTGGACTAAACAGAGTGTGAATTGAGGTATATGGAGGATATGAATGAGAGACAATGGTGCTTTTTCAGGTGCAGGTGAGTTTTATAAGGCAGTCAATTTACTGGCTACAGAAACACATTTCTGTAGATTAAACAAACAAAAGGACACACTTGCAGAGAAACAAAGCTCAGTGTTGGGGTGCAGGCTTACTAGCCAAATTCCCATATAATTGGAATTGGCCAGTGTAACCCTGGTGCATAAACATTACAGCTGTTTATGTTCCCATGTCCTCCCCTCCTCCACTCCATGTGACCTCATGCATGAATAATGATTAAAAGCATGAACAGAGGGGAAAATGTGCACATTTGAGTACTCATCAAAGTTAAAGTGGATCCGCTTTATTCTTTTTTTCAAGAATTCCATCACACTCGCTTGGAGCATGTGTAAAGCATATGTGAAACCCGCAGTGGACCCATTTACAAGTCTTTCACTTTCGCTGGGGCATTCCAAAGTGTTAAATATCAGTAATCTGGATCAATAATCCAGACTGTCTAATCAAACATTAAATCCAATGGCCTGCAGACAGATTTAGTAATGAGCTCAGTTGTTGTTGCAACAGTGGTAGAAACTGACACATCTCTGGTGATGGCTACGATATGCTCGTAGGCTTGGCAGAGCACAGCAGCAGCTGTTCTCGTGGCCTCCTCCAGCGGCTTTTACATGGTCCTCTTTAGTAAATCAAAACTCTTTCTTTTAACTTCTTATATGGTTCTCTTGGTGAATATAACATCAATCACCTTCTTTGTGCTCTCCCTCCATGTCATTTTTTACTGAGGCTGTAATGTCTCAGCTTGTTTTAAAAAAGAAGGCTATTTTTCTTAAAAGTATTATATTACCTAAATATACCTAAAACCTAATACCTAAATATCTGCATCACTTAAGTTATTTTTCAACTTTCTTTAAAAGTCCAATTGGTTTCATGGTTTATAGATGTGGGTGTTTCCTAACTGCCTAATATGGCATCTTTGAGGTGATGCAATTATGGTAATTGATGATAATTAAGGTTTCATGAGCGTGCCTCACATTTATGAGTGATTATAATTCATCAACATATGCATGAATATGACTGACAACAGATGCCTCTGAACATTTGATGAATTCGGTTTATAATGTTTCTAATTTGCAATTATGATTATTAATGTATGAATGTTTTGTGAATAACCCCCAGTGACTGTGCTTACACCTTCTAACAAGCTTCCTATGCGAAACCCTCCATCGTGTGTCTTCATTTAAAGGAATAGTGACATTTTGAAAAATATTTGCTTTCTTGCCAGGAGTTAGATGAGAGGATTGACGCCACTCTCATGTCTGTACAGGAAACCAAAATGGGGCATTGGGTCAAGACGTGAGATTGGACGTGGGTTTATAAAACTTTGCTGAAGGCCTAAGGAGTTAAGTACATGGGCACAAATAGCTTAGAGTCTTTTAAACATATTCATCTGTCAGCCACACTGCAGGGGTATGAGGGTGGCAGTGTTTGTGTTCTAAAGACTGGAGAGTAATCCAGTCACACAAGCTGAATAAGTCTCTGATCAAAAATATGTGTGTGTGATATGTGGACTAGCAACTTCCATACAGTTTAATTATGAACACTTAACAAAGTCATAGCTTATATCAGCATAATTGAGGTAATCCAGGTAATTGAAAGGAATAGGCAATGAGGGCTAACTTAACACAAACCATTTCTTTAACATAACATCACATAGTCTCTACAACAGTTAACTGAACATTACAATATATTGTGTTTACTTGGGTAAAGTTATTTCACAGGAGAGTATCTGCAGCATGGGGAAAATTCTGTTGCCTGTCTGCGCTGGCGATAATAACAACTGGCTCCCCAAAAAGCACACTGTGGTTATTTTCTACAGCTACTGTTAGCTTCGCACAAAGGTTCGAAACAGCTAATCTAACTCTGTTGAAGGGTAACAAAATCCACCTACAAGCATTTCTAAAGGTTAATTAATTTTTATATCTATTTATTTTACCTTTGTTTTACCAGGCAAGACAGAAAGAACATCTTATTTGCAATGATATAGACGTTAAACCATTAAATATTAGGTATTCATGTGTTTAATTCTCACAGTAATGTTTAATAATGACACATTGCTACATTATTATGGTGTTATGTGCTATTTATTGGCTGGGTGCCGTAACACGCGTTAGTTGTCAATGTAATTTTTCCAGGCAACCGGGTAAAGACATACCGCCCCTGGCCAAGAAATAGTCCTGCACTTAACCCCCCAAAACACTGCAATGTGTTGTGTTTACAATTTATTTATGTACAGATCAAATAAAAAAGATGCAAGATACTAATTAGTGAGTTTTAGAGGCGCTGGTAGGCAGATTTCATCACCTTCGGGTGGAGCCAGGCTAGCCGTTTCCCTGTTTTAAGTCTTGGTGTTCAGCTAACCTGCTGCTGGCTGTAGATTCATATTTGCAGTACAGGCATTAGTGGTATCAACCAAGCAAATAAGTGTATTTCCTAAAATATCAAACTAAAAAACAACTAATGAATCCTCTTATTCACCCAGGGACATTATTTGATCAGTGGTACATTATGTCCAGTTATACTACGTTAGTAACCTTTTCAGTCTTTAATTAAGTTTAACCTTTTCAATTGTGATGAAGTGTAAATAAAGAAACAAATAAAGAATAAAAAAAAAAAAAAACACACATACACCACTCACAAAAAACCACACATGCACCAGCAGAAATTTCTACTAACCCTGAGATTGTGCGGCGACTGAATTGGCAGTCCACTGACTTCCACCTGTGCCATGTCATCTGCATGTGCACTGAGCCCGTGGATGAACATGACTGGACTGGTGTACTGGACATCTCGCTGAGGAGCCAGATTCAGATCTCCGTCCACGTGAAAGCTGGGGTCGGACACCTCAAACTTCACGTCCTCATTCCCTGCACAGTCATCAAACTCGACTGGAAGAAACACACAGAATTGGGTTCAGAATTGTTATGCCTTAACTCCAAACAAATAAGAAAAAAACAGATATGTCAAGAAAAATCTGCCATATGAATCACAGTCACTGAGGTACACACTGCACTGTAAAGAAAGGAACTTGAGGGGTTGCCAAAACGATCCACAAAAACAGGTAAAACTCAGATATAAATGGATACCCTGAAGATAAACAGATACCCCGAAGAAAGAGTGGGATGTTCTGAAAGGCTCTGTCAGATAGGTTACAATAAAAGTCACTGATCTCTATTCACAAGTCTACTGCAATATTTATGGCCCATTGCACAATATGCTACGCATTGTAGACTTATTAATGTGTCTGACTTACTTTTGGAGAGCTGTTGCATTTACTACAGAGAATGCAGTGGCACCCAGCTGCAGGAGCGGATGAGAAGAAAGGATTTAAGGTACAGGAGAAGAAAAGTGTCACCTCTGAGTTACGTGCATGTGACGCGTGCACATGTGAGCTTGTCTTGTCTGACTGAGGGAGATACCGCCAAGGACTCCGCCAGGCTTTATCCTTTCTGATCATGTTCATCCTCTCTTTATCTCTCTCACACACTCCACTTGGTGTCGCGACATGATCCCTCCCCACCCTCCCCACACTTCATCCTCAGTCCTGAAAATCCTCCCCTACCTCATCCTTCATCTCCTCTTTACCTTGGCCTCCAGTGATGCTTTCTTTCTGTTTTGGTTCGAGGAGGGAAGGGTCCCAGAGGATGTCTGCATGCGTGGATGTGTACACGTGCTGTTGATCAGTAAAGCAGGTGCAACAGCAATCACATGGTACTGTACAAATCTCAGTGTGGGTTTGAAAGTGCAGAGAAATTTCAAGCTTCAGATGACCCTGCCGCAAACATATGGTAGCTTATAAGTCTTTATTATTTGTTTTTAAATTCTGTTTCAGATCAGAAACTGCCTGCAGTTTAAAACATGGCATATAGGATATTCCATATGGCTATCATTATTAATGCAACCACATGTTTCTGAGTCTGAATTTTACAAGTCTACGAGTCTACAAAAACTACCAGTAAGTTCATCACAAAAACAAGGAAAAACTAGTTGATATTATTTGGCCACTCCACTGTGAATATCTCTATATCCTGACTCATCAATTATGGATGTGATTCTTTCGGCTTAACATAACACAGAAAACTCTGGTAGCTCATGACCAGCTGAAGGAAATTGTTCATAAAAGATCTGGAAAGCTCTCATCAGTGTGATGTGTTCACATTGGGGACTAGGAGGCCATCTTTCTGAGGAAGAAATTGGTTCAGTTTTGAGCCCATATTTATCAAGTTTCTTGGAGCAGCTTGTGGATCGGTGGTGCCTCTCTGAAGATAAAGCACAATTCCCAGTGCAAGAGGCTGTACACTTTTTCTACTGAACCAGCTCATTAAAAGTTGAAACCAATATATACAGTATATATATTTATATATACACTGGAAATTGCAGTTTTCAAATAAAAATGAAGGATCAGTAATAGAAGGTGTCAGGTAAGTTTGCACTTGCAAAATGTATCAATTGAGCATATTTCTTTTTATATTTGTTTGGATTGAGCTGTCATTTTTAATGTACTGCTTTCGGGTACTACTTTTCTTTAGGCTGAATGTTCTTTAAAGTCACAAACAACATTTTCATAAAATCAAACCCAATGTCTTATACCTTTATGGTTGGCATTGTTTCAACAATAGTCATTCTAATCTACATGTACATTCTATAACAACTTCTATATGCAGTAGATTCATGGGAGTCCACCATTCCCATGCAGGATTCAAATTACCTACGTATTTACACAGAAGGGACTAACAAGAAAAGCAAGCATGTAATCCAGTGTTACTGTTTTTAATTGTATCTAATTGATATCAGTCTCACTATTGTTGTTTACTCCCAGTATGAGAGCTGTATTAAATTATTGCTAATACAAATCCTACCTATCCTATCACTAGCTTCACATTAAAAAGAACTGTGCGGCTATAAGAAGTGGTGGCTTTTATGGTGAAGAAAGCTACAAAAATACATGCAAAACGAGACCTGGTAATTTTGTGCATTTTTAACAGCAGATCAGTTTTAAGTATTGCAACGACAAATGGAACAAGAAGAAGCAGCCATATTGAGCTGTTAGATGAAGAGGTGCAGGTGACAGGCTGCACACCTCCAACTTTTCAGCAAGGTAATCACCCTTATTCATCCTTGCTGTTGTGAAACTACTTGCAAAATGTTTGCGAGAAAACTGATCCCGGTTGCTCATGATAGAAAAAGCTGTACACAGCTGTACCAGTTGCTCTTTGATTGTATTTCTGACAAAGTAGCTGCCCAGGACTATTGTTTGTCCATCCAGCTCTTAATTTCAGGAATAATGTGTTGACTAAGACAACCCTCACTGTATTTAAATCTAAATAACTGATAATCCAAATGCATACAGATTACCACACAGGAGGTGAAAGGCTGTTGTTCAGTTCAAGCACAATGGCAACCCACTGTTGTAACACACACATATTGTTCTCCTGCTAAGAGTACTGTAACTGCTATTGTTCATAGCAACATTTTACCTTGTAGAAACAATGACTGTGCGTCTGACTTAAACTCATCAATCCGTACACGTCTATATCCCATCAAGCCAGCACCAACTGAAATGGGAAAAGTCTATGGTTAGCACTGCCTGGCTATAAAATCAATAGACTGAAGTCTATCAAAGCACTCATTTAATACACTTAACCTTTGTGACTGTTTAGTCTTGCTTCTTTTATCTCTCTCGCTGCAGACATTTTTAAATCTTCCCTCTGGACAGAATCATTTTCTGCCATCTGGATGAGGGTAAGAAGAAAATACCAGAGTCAAGAATAGAGAAGAGGAGAGAAAAAGAAGGGAAATGAGAAAAAAAGAAAATGACAGGAAAGGCGAGGCTTCAGTGGACACTGAGGGAGAGCTACAAAGTCAACAACCTACTCTCGAGGGAAACAAGGCTCCATCTCAATATTCAACTCTCACTTCTAAGCCAAAGCATGAAAGATGTGTTCATTTCCATTCCCATTACAAGCCTCAGATTTATTTCAATAACATCGGCGCGCTCTTTAGAGCCTGCAAATTGCAGCGCCAAACAGTGTCAGTGGCATTTCAAAGGCAGCCAGAGAGTGTTTGATGGTATTCTAATGTTGTCAGGTTTGGGGGGATTTCAGAAGAGAGCATGGTGAGCTGGTGGCTTTGAAGTCAGGCAACAATGACAGAACGCAACTTACCCCGCTCACCACCAGCACCACCACGCACCCACTCTCTTTCTTCAGAGTGCTGGCTCAGGGTTGAAATAACTGTGCACAACATGGATTAGGGTCGCCAAAATCCCTCACTGATGACTCAAGAGGAGAAGGAGGGTGGGTGGGTTGGGGAAGCGGGGCGGTTCTCAAGTTTTTCCTCAAGTTTGACATTCAAGTTTCTTTCAGGCCAACCTCCCGTGGAGCCTGTGAGAGGCAAATGTTCCAGAAAGTCAGTCACCTAGGGCCATGGTTACTATTCCATTAGCTCTTTTGGCACCAAAGAACACCACTTCAGAGTTCTCATTTAAGCTTATAGAGAGGAACACTACATTATTCAGGGTTTGTAGTATATTCAGAGAATTCAGACACCTAATTGAATAATTTAACTTCAATAACAAACAAACAAATTACATGCAAATATTGTCTTATTCAGAAACTGAACATGAAATTCCTCCATGAAGTTATATAACTGTCTCTGTATATTCAAAAGAATAAATATAGGTTTTGGTCAATCATCATGTCAGTTATCTTCTAAGAGATCAAACATGATAACTACTCGAAAAACTGCGATCTTGATTTTCTGCCTCTCAATGATGAAGCAACATATTTTGACATCCAACATTATCCAGGCATATTCATTGGCTCCACTCTCTTTGTCAGCCACACAAATTGGATTTTCTTTCCTCCTCTGTCAGGTACTAAAGTTTTCCTTTGAGGTGTTTTGAAGACAATTTTCTGTCTTGTAACTAAATGTCAAGTCTCCATGATGGGAGAGATGGGAATCAGAGGAGTAATCTCAAAAGTGGCAGCACGGGTGTGTTTGAGCTGATAGCTGCCGTGTCTAACCAGACAGAGTGTGCTCAGCCTCATAAAATAGGCTCAGGAGAACACCATTCTCAAATAATCACCTGACATTAGAGAGGGAGCTGCTTTTGAAAATGTATTTACACCCTGAATTGCATTTTACCCCAGAGTTTCCTATCACTAAGCATTGTGTAAGACCCATTATTGGGATTCAGTAGTAACAAAGCTTGGGCTTTTGAGCTATAAAGATAACGGTTTGACAAATTTTGCCAACTAAGGGGGTCCTGACGGCATAATCTTTCATCTTGAGTTTAACAGATGATTAAGATCCCCCACATCCATCTTCACTTTTGCCACTACAGCCAATTCCATCATGTCAGATGTGGGATTGCTAATCATCGGGTAAAGCAGGAAAGTGTGTAAGATCTGAGTTGTTAGCAAATCACATGGTATTTTTCATGTCACTCACAGCAGGGGAATTATATCCTGAGTCTGTCAGTGTAAGTGTGGTTTTAGAGCCCTTGATCATGCTTTGATGCATGGCACTGTCCACCGCACTGGTAAAGCCAATTAAAGTGCAGTGACTGTCTGATCTGAGTTCACGCATGGACTGTCAAAGATCAGCCAAGCATGTTTCGAGTTATGTGCATGTGTTAAAACACATGACTGGAACATGGAATAAATTCAATACATTCTTCCATTTCTTGTCAAATGCTTTGATCTGTTGTTTTTTCATGCTGTTAGGGGATTGTTTACACCAGTTATAAAAGTCAGTATTTTAAATTATAGTCAGATGAGAATAAAAAACCCAAAATAATTTAAGTGTTGTGTCCCCAGTGTTACCCTCATGTATATATGTGCACAACTGCTCTTTGCTTCACACCCAACCACGTTATGTTTAAAGC